CTATATAAAATTTATTGCATTCGCAAGGAATTTTATAAATTACATTTTTTGTATTTTCAATTATATCATGAGGTTTTGTTACTGAAATTTTATTTTTCTCACTTTACACTGTTGGAAACGATCGTGGTTTTTAATAGTGTTTCAAAGACTTTGTGTGCTTGTACGTGGTAATGGAATGATTAGAAACAAATACAGCACCCTGAATATACTTAAATATTTTTTTGCGGAATTTTGTAATTTAGCGGAGCAAAATATTAGATCTCCAATAATCTCGATAACGTTTTATAAAACTTATCAATAAACAAATTTTTGTGCATATGGTCAATTTCTTCGTCAATTAGAGCTTTCTTGGAGAATCCAAATAAGATACTTAAAAACATTTTGTAATTTATTTGTAACCCATCAATAAATTGGAACACTTGCTAAGGCCTTTTCCTCTTGACAATATTATTTTATCATAAATGTTTGTTGAAAAGTAATGGCAAACGTAAATTAACTGTGTCAAAGTTACATTTTCTGGTCAGTTTTTCTATTGGCATCCTTAAGACAATAAATATGCGCATAACAAAGTTAACGTTTTTGGAACTCACAGGAATGGCAGCCAGACACCTAAAAAGCGCATGAAACGACTACATTTGCGATGTTAGTAGACTCGAGGAGTCGGCGGGGACAGATGATAGACAAACAATATATAAATTCAATAAAAAAAATCGCCTTTTCTTCTTGGTCTTAGCAGTACGAAAGCTAAAACGGCATGATCCTAACGATCTTCAAACCAGACTTTAGCTCCTCCTCCACCGATTAGCAGCTTCTGATCGTTAATTGGTTTTGAAACGGAAAAGTGTCACTTCCGGGAAGGGAAGAAAGGAAGATTATGATTTCTTGGGGTCGGAAAAAAACATGTTAGTACAAAAGAGTATTAGTGTGAAGACCTATTTAGATCGGAAACCTTTTTGCGTAATTCTTTGGGAAAGAAGGAAACAGGAACAAATAGAATACATTCATAGTCATAAACTTATATTACCTATCTAATACGTATTCCTCAATAACATATCATATTCAGAGATTGGAATAGTTGTATTTCTGAAATGCACCGTTACCAGATAAATCTACCGGACTAAACTGATGATTTGAAAACGGTTTCCCTCAAACCGGCGTTTGTAGGTCACTCTTTAAAAGAAATGCTTGTGTTACCGGCATCTGTTTTACTATGAAGCACGCGTCTGACTTTGTTTATTCGTTGTGATTTCGAAGTAGTGAAATTTCAGGTAGTTTTAGGACACTCTTATACGTATCTGCATAATTAATTAATTCTTCCCACATGGTAAAAACTATAATGTTCGCATCGATGTCACTCGATTTAATAGGTACGTGCCAACCAGGGGCGGATCCAGCTTTAAAGTGGTGGGGGGGGCTGGTTATGTAGAAAAATACATAGTCTTCTGTTATCTATGAAATTAGAAAAATGATCGTCGTTTTGTGCAAGGATGGCCCAAGTTTATTGCAAAATTTCATGTCTTCCGTCCCGTTTTGCATGTTTCTCAGAAGTAAAATGAGCAAGAACGCTCGTTTTTACATCATTCCAGAGATAACTAAATGGCCTTTATTCGAAGTTTCTCAAGAACCATTCGAGCCACAG